TCTGAAGTATATATTTTTTTGGTTTTTATATTTTTCAATATATTTATTTCGTTTGTACAAAAAAAAAAAATAATTTTTAACGATACAATAGTCTTCGTTAGGCTTAACATCGACGAAAATTCAACGCGAAGCGACACGCAATGGAGAAAAATTTCAACACGGGATAAATTAATATATTTTTTCGTACATAATTGGTTATCCGAAAAATAAGTTATCCGAACAACCCCAGTCCCCAATTGATTCGGATTAACGACGCTCTACTGTATTTTTGTGTGTAAATCAGCCAAACTTGAAAAAAATTGTAATATATTTTTACATCATTTTTCATAAACTGCAATTAATATGTATAGTTTTTAATGGATTCTATTTAATGTAATAAATTATACATCCTATAAATATAAAATATATTTTATAACAGTGTTTTTAATGCAAATAAATATAAAATTTGAAATTTACTTCTGCTAAATGTTGTTAAATCCTGAATCTTATCAAATATATAAATGCATGAAAGTTATTTTTTTTGTTTTGTATTTTTATACGTAAAAATTTTCAGTCAGTTTATAAGTAATTGTAAATTTAAATGCTTTATCTTTACAAAACATATAAATGCAGTAGACACTCATTAATTCAAACTCAGAAGGATGGCCCAACAGTTTGAATTAAAAGGAAACTATTTCTGGATGCTACAGAACAAAAACGAAATGATTTTAACAACACATTAACATCACATGGCAAACAGAATAATGTTTAATCAATGAGAAATACAAAACAATGGTACTTGTTAATTCAATGGAATAAAGGAAAAAATCGTTGGATAGCTGTGATGAGCAAGTACTATGGGGCAACTGTAAAGCATCCTAATCATGTGCCAACCAATTTGAAATGTTTTAAAATTTTAATTAATTTCATTTTAAATTCAATCTTCAAATTTCAAAAGTGGGAATAAAATTTTAATCAAACACATGATGTTAATTCAAATAATCAGGAGGCAGCACAATCAAGTTTGGATTAACAAGAGAATTTTGTTAATTTAAATAAGAATTGGATGTGTACTAGTGTCAGGTCTAGTTCAAATTAAGAGGAAATTAAAATTGTCTAAATTCAAATTAAGGAAAGTCTACTGTATTTATATTACAAACTACAATGCTTTGTTTCATAAGTTGTCTTAGAAGTAAACAAATAGTTCATCATTGATTGATGATAAATTTAAATTTATTAATTTACTAACTTATATTACAGTTTTAAATTTTAAAATATGCGAAAAAAGAATTTTAAAGATTTGTTTGGATATTTATGTAAATAACAATACATGATCTTTATTTTAAATTTAGCAAGATATACAAGAAGAAAGTAAACCAACTAAAGTTGAATATGCTATTGCCAAATATCTTAGAGACAAGCTTCCTGCAAAAAAGACAACACTTCTCAGTCATAAAGTAGAATATTTCATTGGTAATATAACATTCTTTTAAAATTTTGACATGATTATAATTTCAGTATATTTATATTTTCTACTTGCATTCATATTATTTATCATTACTAAAAAGTGATTTTATTAACAATGTATTTGATAACCATTCATCAATGGTTATCAAATACATTGTTAACAAAATCACTTTTAGAAAATATTTGTATAAAATTGCTTTTTGTATTTTTTTTATGTTAAAATTTTATTTGTATATCACAGCTTCAAAAGCTATTGATTGTTTGATGGACTCACCATGGGCTAAAAGTAAGAAGATGGAAGCTAATTTCACAACAAGAGAATCAATTGTGGAGTTCATGGATAAGTAAGTATTTCATGTTGTTTATTGTTTTAATAAAACACTCATAATTTATTTTAACTTTTTATTTTTAGCATGCTAAGGCACAAATTTTTTCATCGTGCAAAGAAAATTGTTGTTCAGAAAGATAGTAAAAAGAAAAAAAAAGAAAAGGATGAAGAAACTAATGCTGGAAGTGAAGAAACAAAGGAGAAAGAAAAAAAATTGAAAGAGAAGGAGAAAAAAAGTAAATCAGAAAAAGAAGAAAAGGCTGACACTAAAAAGGTAAAATAATAAGATACATTACAGAAAGAACAGTATAATTAAATTGAACCAAATCTCAAATCACTTCATAATCATAAAACAGTTTCTGATTTTTATCCTCAGTGTGGCTCATAACAAATTAGCATTTCAATTAGAAACAATTTTCATTTAATTTGAGAATTTTTCAAAAAGTCAAATATATATTATCAATGATTTATTCAATTTTATCAATGATTAATGATTTACTCACATTTTTTAATTGTAAAAATGTCTAAGAAGTTTTAACACTAAGACTAAAGCAAATTTCAATAATTAAAGAATTTTTCAAAATAAATTTTAAATTATAGTAATAAATTAAACAATAAATCAACTAAACTTGTAAAACTTGAAAATCCCCTTTTTCAGTTTATATCATTTATGTTTTATATATGTTTTTTCAAAATAGAAATTTCTTGAATTAAATTAGATATATATGTGACCACAGGGTCGACACCTGTTTAGCGCCTTGTCATGATGACACCACTGTGTCTTGTGAACAGACACAGAAAAAGAATATTGGCTATTAATTTACGTTATGCGAACGGTTGCGTGTGCGGACCTTTGGTTCCGGGATGGAGGCGGAAGGAGAGAATCAGAGGAATTACACTCTACAGATTATCTTTATATACATAATACCCGTTTATTATTTGATTTAGCTGTATACAAATCATTTGTATTACAATTGACATAGCTATTATTAACCTGATAACAAGTACTAATGAGAGAGAGAGTTTACAATTATTGCGCGTGAGGATAAATACCTTGATAAGAGTTGTAGAACAGTTGGAAATTTAGTCCACAAGTCTCAAGATGGCACAAAGTCCTTCAGAACGATAATGATGTTCCTTCAGGTGGTGATCTTCCCAGACTGCGGCGATTAGAACATCCAAGGGCGGCGGCTATTAATCCTCCCACACACACAGTTCACTTAAAAACTGGAGATTCTCTTTTGCACATCGACCCCTCCTTTTTATAAAGGGGGCCATCATTGGGTTTTTCCACTGCCTTATTAGGATTATTTTTTCACCACCGACCAATAGTGTTTTCTTTCTTCTTCTTGTAGATTCTGGGTGACACATTCGATGTATCATCAACCAGGAAATAAGTCCGTGGGAAAACAATTTTATTATTCTTAAAAATGTTGGTTTGTTGTTTATCTCCTTAAACCTTAAAAAAATTTTTTTTTTTCCAACAAAATAAATTTCACCATTTCACCAAGTTCGGCTCTCACATATACATATATCTTTCTTCCAGTATCTTATATGTATGTATTTGTGTGTATGTGTATACAATAGCCTCTTAATGTATTGAACTTCCCTAACTTGAAATTCTCACTCAATCTTGATTTTTTTCTTAATTTAACTCTAATATTCAGTTGAATCTTGGTTATCCAAAGTAATGTGGACCAATGCTACCTCAGATAATCAAAAACTCAGATAAAATGGATGACCACAGTCATTTCAGATGAAAATTATGAATATAAAAGATTTATATGGTATCAGTTTTAAGTCTTTTTTACACCTTATTGAATTTAATCATATATAAGAATGCTTTTTATGTCATTTATTATACAGCTAATACGTACAATAGTTTTAAGATTAAAAATGTATTATTATAGTTAGATTTTAATATGAATGATTTCTCTCATTGAAATTAAATAATAAAAGGTAACAGAAAGAAATCATTTTATAATACATGTTATCATTTTGAAGTTTCTTTCATGAATTACAGTAAAAGAAATGTAGTGTATTCACTTCTGCTTCAGATAATGCAAAACCACAGTTAATTGGAATTTGGATAATCTGTACAAATATAAAATGCATTGAGTCTAAGTTGAAATAATTTTTAGATTACTTTTCACTAACTCAAAATTTAATATAGAAAGACTTTATTTCATTTGTATTTTCAAGGGAATAGATGATGATATCATCTATTCCCTTGAAAACACAAATGAAATGTAAAAATGAATGTAAAAATGTAAAGAAATAATGATTTCAAAATGTAATAAACACATCTGTGATTTGACAACTTATAAATTTGACTGGCCAATAACTTAGTGTTTGTCTTTATGTATGTCATATATCAAGATGTATATAAAAAGAGGATCATATTTGGAACTAAACTTTATAAATTTCACTGTAAAATTTGAATTGGATGTTAACATTTTCATCACTGATAGTGACTACTTAACCAGAGTGTTGACTGTTTTCATTCAAAATAGATGGAAATAGCAAACAGGAAAAAAAACTAAAGATTTTATCAATAACAGAAAAGCTATTTGTTGTAAAGACTGTGGAAAAAGCAAAACAAAAATCAGAAATTGTCAAAGAATTTGACATTTCTTTGAATTCTCTATCTATCTGAAAAACAGAGATTTTGGAGAGGATTTTGAAATCTTCAATGAACAACAAAATCAGAACAGAAAATAAAGCATAAATGTGAGTATTTAAGTGGTTTATACAGTATAGAATCAAGACTATTTCTGTTGATGGAAAACTTAGAATAAAAGCTGAATAGTTGAGACATACCAGATTCAAAGCAAGCAGCAAATGAATGGATAAATTTAAGAAGTGGCATGGAATAGTTTTTGATAAAATTTGTGATAAAAGTACAGAATTATGATTTCACAAAGTGATTGAAAAGTTTACCAGAAATTGTACAGATATACAGCCTGAATTTTAGTTCAGATGAAATATGTTATTTTTTAAATGTCTGTCAGACAAAACAATAATGTTCAAAGATTAATTATGTCACAGAGATAAAAAAAAAAAGTAAAGAATATGTAACTCTTGGAAGGAAACATAACAGGCAATGAAAAACTGCCAGCATTATTAATTGAAAAACCTTTAAAGCATTGATGTTTCTGCAATGCTGAAGTGTTACCTATACAGTATGCAGCAGATAAAGTATGCATGGCATCAGAGATTTCCTCTAACTGCCTAAAAAAATTAGACACTTAAATGATTGCTTTAAAACAAAAAACTGTTTTTTTTTTTATCAATTTAAGGCAGTCAGTCACATTGCTTCTTGCTCAGTAATATTTTCAATGACTTGTTAATGACAAACTTGTTTAACAGACAGGTATGTATAGTATTTGAAGATTTCCAAATAACAGGTACACTGAAAATTCTGAATAGACTGAGCCTCTCAAGTCTTTTTATAGGATGCTGGAATAGTGATTTTAAGAAACTCTGGTGGAATTACCTGACATACAATCAGACTGTAAAAAGTAATTAGTTAGTAAATAGGAAAACAATGAAATGCTGAAATAATTTTATAAATTTTTTCCCATTTACATATCTATATTTATGAATTTCTTAATCATTACATAATTTTAAAATTATATTTATCTGTATGTTTTTAAATTGTTAACTTGAAACATTATTATTTCATCATCAAAATTGTAGCAGGTAAATTTAAATGTTCTAAAACACTTGTTAAAATTTAATTTTTTTATATCATTGATTATTTATTTAAAGGTGACTGTATAAATTAAAAATATTTGTAGCAGGTCTGGTCAGATAAACAACTGATGACAATGAATGGATAAAATATATTTTTATCACTATTTTTTATAATGTATTGGTTGTAGTTAGTATAAAATAAAATGTAAAATATATTTCTTTTAAAGGAAGAAGGGCCTGAAAAGAAAAAAGAAAAGAAAAAAATTAAACTGGACATGCATCTTGAACAAGTTTTTGTTGATGGAAATGAGGTAATTTAAATTTACTACTACTACTTACATGCTCATATAAGTGTCCTCATGATGAGTATTGGCCAGAATTTTCCATTTTATAGAGGGTTATGTTTTTATCAATGTAGAAAAAGAGAGAAGTTTAAAAAATGTTGTTATTCATATTTACTACTACTACTTACATGCTCATATAAGTGTCCTCATGATGAGTATTGGCCAGAATTTTCCATTTTATAGAGGGTTATGTTTTTATCAATGTAGAAAAAGAGAGAAGTTTAAAAAATGTTGTTATTCATATTTACTACTACTACTTACATGCTCATATAAGTGTCCTCATGTTTCAAATATATGAAAACACTAAAATGATATGTGATGCAATAGAAGAAAATTTGTGATCTGTGTAAAAACGTAATATTCACAAAATTAGTTTTTTTTAGTTATTTTCCTATTTTTGAAGATATACTACTTAGTCAACACTTAATGAATTAAAGTTTTTCAAACCTGTTGATAGTTATAATAAATTTGTCTAATTAAAAGGATTTTTAGAATTATATTGTCTATAAGATTACTTTTTAAATAAAAATAAAATATTCCTTATATCAATAATACAATACTGAATTTTGACTAGTTTAAAAAATTTTTTCAGCTGTATTGTTTGTTGCTGCTGTTTCTAGTTAAAACAATGAGACTGGGAGCATTTCTCATGAAACGTCTCATTGTAATCGTTTGATAGATTTAAGAAAAAATGGCAATACATCAAATTAATTTGAGTTAGCATATGAAATTTTTCTCCTTCATGTGCATATTTTAAAAAATATTCATTACTCAAGAAATGAATTAATTCTTCTGGAGTTGGAAAGAAATAGTGGTATTGCATTGCCACAACTATGTGCTATCAATGGAATTGAGATCTTAAAAAAAAACTTATAACCATTATCAGATGATGAGAGTTAGTAAATTTTACATATAAAATACATTTTGGAACAGAATAATTTGCAATTTAGTCAGGTTTTCAATTTGTAGAGGGTCCATTTTAAACAAATTTTACTATATTTTGTGAATAATCTATTGAAAGTTCCATAAAATAACCATAAATATATTGGATAATGCAACATTTAAATAAAATCTAGTATAAGGTAACTATTAGATATGCTTATTTTTGAAATTATTATAAATAATTTACTAATTTGTTTCTGAACTAATCTTTTTTAAATTAATTTTTAATATTTATTTTATTTAAATGTTAATATTAAAAATAAATGATATACAAACACATTATTATTATTGTAGGCTTACGTTTGGATTTATGATCCAATTCCAGTTAGAGCTTGGGTGATTGGAACTTTATTAGGTTTGTTAATTTTCACAATTTTTAAATAAAAATTTTTATAACAATTTTAATTTACATTTAATATTAATTACACTTTCTATTTAATATAGCTGTAATTAATATATAAAAAACATAATTTTGTTTTAACAGTTGTTGGTGCTGTATTAGTATGCTTGTTTCCACTTTGGCCCAAAATTGTTAGACATTATGTGTATTACTTGAGTATTGCAGCAACTGGCTTTTTAATATTAATTATTGGTTTAGCTGTTGGTAAGTATCCTTCATTAATCATTCACTACAATATTGAGAAAACATTTGTTTATTATAAATAATGGTAATTATATTTAAGAATAACTAATTGAATTAATATTTTCATTACTAGAAAAACAAATCAAATGATATCTATGTTTGTTCTTCCTGGTTAAATATGCAAGTTTAGTAAAAGTTAGAAATAAAAGAGCATGACTAAAATGCCAATTTTATTATATTGTTTACAAAGTTAATTACAGTCAACCCCCTATAACACTGTTGATTATTCCGTTTTATATGAATTCCATGTTGTACGAGTCACTTAGATTTTACAAATATGTATGCCGGGCTGTGAACGGCTCACATATTTGTGAAATCTAAGTGACTCATACAACATAAAATTCATATAAAACAGAATAATCAACAGTGTTATAGGGGGTCGACTGTATTGTTATCTGAAAAAGATCATTTTGATATTTAAAATTATTTTATAAATACTAAAAACATTCAGTTAATTGTCAAATTCCAGTTTGGGCAATGAAATTTAATTTTTAATTTAGATTAGTATTATAAATTTCTTTCAACTTTCATACATACATAAAAATTTGTTTGCCAATAATTTTAAATAATATATATTTATGTATGAATAAAATAAAATACTCAGTATAGCAATTAAGAAAAATATTAATAAAAACTGTTTTATTTACATTTTGGAATTATCAACAACTATTTATCAATTTAATCTATTCTTTATATTTTTAATATTCAGAATGTCAACACACACACACACACACACATTATACATACATATATATCTGATGCAGAATTAATACATATTATTTACATTTTCAATTAAAATAATTGACACTATTTTACATCAAAAACACATGGAAGAAACTGAAATGTTTTCATACCTCCACCATATCTGATGATAAGGAACAAACGGTCTTCTTTTGCTAGAGGTTATGCCTTTGTAAAAATATGCATTAATACATCATTTTAATTTAAAGGTATTATCAATATTGTGAAATTCAAATGTCTTAAACTGTATATTGATAACACAAATAAAAACCTTTACTAACTAGCATCAACTTTTAATTTAATAATTACTTTCAACCTTTTTAAAAAATCTTTATAAGGGTATCCCTTTCAATATATAATTAACAATTTAAATATTAAAAGAATCTTAATGTATCAAACTTTTAAAAAGTAATTCTAATAGAATCTCTTGACAGATTCTATTGGAATTATTATGACACACTCAATTTTATATGGAAATCATACTAAATGCTCAATGATTTATTAAAAAATTAATCTTATTTACATGTTATAACAATTTCAATGTAATAGTTTGATGCAAAACAAATTTAAAAATTTTATGGTAAATACATTTGTAGATTAAAATACTGAAAATCCATTGACTTTAATTTATAGTTAAAATTAGCCTTTGAATAAATTTTTCAAACTGCTTTTGAAATGAAATGAAATAAAACAAACTCAAAGCAGAACTTTTAAGTTAAGAAGTATTGAACTATTTGAGTAATTTAACATTTTCTGGTTGATAATACAATTTTAAAGCAGCACATTCACATAATATATGTATTAGTAAAAAGAAGATTTTATTACTTATGTTGTTATAGATTTCATTGCATTAATGTAAGACAACATAATTTATTCAAATTATTTCCATCTTTCTGAATATTGAATTAAAGTTTAAATGTAAGATGAAATATTTCTTTATCATATCAGCATTAGATATAGAAAAATCTAAAATAATATATATATATACTTTTTGTCAATGTATATATATATACATTGACAAAAAGTTACATACTCAGATAAATTATAATAAAGGTAATAAAATATATGCAAAAAGTCTCCCTCTACAGTTAAAAATATAACATCCCTTTAAAAAATAAAAATAAGTTAGAACTAGGATATTATAAATTCACAAAGAATGAACTAAAACATTACATATAGAAATAAACAATAATCTAAAAATACATGTTTTTAAAATATGATTTTTAGTATTATATACAATTTACATTTTAAAAGCATAAAAAATAAAAACAACAAATAAATCTTATATCATAAAAAATTTTTTACATGTAGATTTTAAGAATTATATTTGACATTGCTCATATTATTGACAACTCTACTAAAATAAATTGATTATTACAAAACTTTGCATATAGGTAGGTAAATGATTACAGTTGTGTTCTAATTGCTTGTCAGGTAAATACCACCAGAATGCCTTAAAGTCACTACCCCAGTAACATATTAAAAGGCTTGCAGAGGATCACTCTGTGTTCAGTTTTCAATGTAACTGTTGTTTGAAACCAGTAATGACTAAACAATGCACTCAAAGACAGTTACTCAAACTGGGTATATGTAAATAAGCATTACACACAGAACCATTTTCCAGCAAAATAACAATTGGCCATGTACAGCTTGGATTTTCCAAGAATTTCTCCATTACTTTGCCACATTTCCTTGGTCTTTCAGTCTTCATTTTTGTTGCCCATCAAGTATTTATGGGACAGATGAGACACTAGCTTAGGCTATCTATAATTATTAGGGATTGGGAGTAACAGTTGTAATGTCTATAGTCAAATTGTCACAGAACAGCATATAGTGTGTGCATGCCTGGCAATATGCATCCAGTCAAGAGGAGTTTCAACAAAGTATTATATTAAGTTTAAAGAATCCTTTAAATTGCATTGCTGTACGATAAGAAATTGTCCGTTTTCTGTGATAATGCAATCACTTATTACCATCATCATTACTTTTACATTAATAAAGTTTTGTTTGATTCCAATACCACATTCTTGGTGTGTAATATTTTTGTATTTATATAATTTTATTTGAATCATTAATTACTGATAATTATTTTACTAATTCATACAAAAATAATAATTTTTTATATGAATTCATTATATTTGGCTTATGTTTTCAAACAAATAATTTATTAACATACCTTTATATAGTATTATAATTAATATTATATTATTATAATTCACAAACAGTAAATATAATTTTGTATGATTGATAGTATCCAATGAAACAACTTAAAAAAATATAACTTTGTCAAAACAAACGAAATTTATATTAAAAGTAAAATCTTCATTAAGCCAAACCCATGTGAGATATGACATGACAACCCTCTATTTTCCTCCCACTTAACCTTTCATCACTAGCATCAATGCTCCTTATACACAAGCTACTATACCAAATTTTGTTTCTTAATCTTTACTCCATCCTGAGATATTAAACAAAATAGATGCCAACACACACATGCATTCACAGAATATTTTTTCCAGGTTTTGAGTTTTTTTGGTTCAGGGGTTTCAAAACATGGAGATTTGCAAAAAAACTCAGTGTGTCAAATTTGACATGATTTCAATACTTTCCCTTGTTATGTATAGATAACAGCCTGGAAAATAAAAGTGAAAAAAACATCATTGTAAAAATTCCTGCAACAAAGGAAAACTGAGACAAGTGTCCTGCAACTTTGATTAAATTCATAAAATTGTTATAACAACTTATTTTTTTATATAGAAAATCATTCTATGTTTTAACTTGAATTAGCAGAAGAATTTTGCGTATTTGATTTGTTAGAATTTAAATATAGCTATGGCTCCTAATTGTAAACCCATTGGAAAAGATGTGAGAGTTAATTATTAAAGAGCATTTAGAAGGTGTTTCCAACTCAGAAATAATCAAGCTAATGAAATGTCACAAATTGCTATGGATAGAATCATTAAAAAAATACAAAGTAACTGGTAAAACAGATGTGCAACCAAAATCAGGAAGACCATATTATACTAGAAAGATATAAGACTTCTGAGAACTTTATCTTCTAAGAAGTTCTAGGATAAATTCAGTTAAAATGTTAACTAACAAGTGGAGTGAAATAACTAAAAATCTCTTTCAAAAAAAAAAAAAAAAAAGAAGAAGGCAGAGACTAAGAGAGATTGGCTATTGATTGAAGCAAGCAGAAAAGAGATTACTGCCTACAAGTACAATGAAACAAAATAGAAATAGGTAGTGTAAAAAATATAAAGATGGGGACATTAATAAATGGAAAAAAGTAATATTTAGTGACAAATCAAGATTTTGTCTGTCTAAGGATGGAAATGCAAAATGAAGAAAAGGTGAGGAAAATTGCATTTCAAAGATTGTAAAATTTACACCAGGGATTATGGTATATGGAACTGTAACTGCTTTCGGACTTGGGAGCTTACAAATTGTGAGTCAAAACATTGATTCATCAGTTTATATTAATTAATATACTAGATGAACATCTTATACCAACAACTAAATATTACTTTTCTCATGGTGAATACATTTGTCAACAGGATGGTGCACCTGCCCATACAGCCAACAGAACAAAATCATACTTGGAAACATGGGAACAGAGATATTAGACTGGCCTGGCAATTCACCAGACCTTAATCCCATAGAAAAAAATATGGAATAAGGTGAAGGAACAACTGAAACAAAAGCATATTTTAACTTTCAAAGAATTAGAGGAGAACATATATCTATTATGGAAAGAAATTACTGTCCAAGTATGTCCAAGTTTTATTCCATGCCATAAAAGAATTACGCAGTTAAGGCCAAAGGTGAGCCATGCAATAGTAAAATTAAAGTTGCAGGACTTTTGACTCAATTTTCTTGTGTTGCAGAATGTCCATGATATGGTTTTTACTTTTTTGCATTGTACTGTAAAAATATATAATTTCATAATAAAATTTGTGGTGTCTCAAAAGAAAATAAATGCCTCTCCCTATTTTATTAATAATTTTAATGTAAATTTGCAGTATAAAAAAATTAATCAAAGTTACCGAGGCTCAAAAAAAAACTGCTTCTTGCATGACTTTTGTTTCTTGGTTGTACAGTATAGCTAAACTTTTTGGCATAATTATATAAGAAGATTTAAACTTTTATTTTTTTTTTTTAATGATTTTACAGTTATATTTTAGTTATTCACCTATAAATAGTTACTAGTTGAATTAACTTAGAGTCTGTTTATGTTTATAAAGAAATTTTATAAAATCTGTTGTTAATTACTTTAAACTGGATATAAACTAAGTTTTTTCTGTTATCATCATCACATAACTTAGTGGTCTCAGAGGAGTAATATTATTCTGTAATTTGATATCGATATTTTATCTGTGCAATATCACACTATACTAAAATACTGTAGTTTATTTGTACTGTACATATCAATTTAAAATATACAGTAGTTGTATCAAATAATAAACATGAAAATATAAGAATATATTTCTTGTAAATGTGAAGTAACAAATAACAAAATTATTTGTTTTATACTATTACTTCATACATATGACTTAATTTTTGAATTTAGATAAAATTATAAATTTTTTATATTTAAATGCACTGGGAAAACAAAATTTGTTTATTTTGTGTATGAAAGCAATAACAATTAAATTTTTTCAGCATATATAATATATACATGAATTTCTTCAAATAATTTTTTTTCATTTTTAAAAACTTAAATTAGTTTAAAGTTTTTTTTTAAAAATGGAAAAAATTATGAAGATTCACTCCTTTCATAAATAAAATTATGAAAATCACATAAAATATTGTATATAAGATAATCTAATTAAAATAATTTTTTTAAAATTTAATTTAAGTTTTTCAATTAATGTTTATTTTTTCAGAATAAAAAAATCTACATAGGTTGAAACTATAAAAATAATTGCTAAAAATACAAGTTTATGTAATATTTAAATAATTTTCACGTACAATGTTTCATTTATATTGTATTTCCTAATTATGGTAATTTCATGCAATAAAATACATAAAGTCTATGTATTAAAAATTAAATTGGCAGTGATTTTATAATTTTCTAGATTAAAAATAAGTCTTATTTCATACAACTCTTATTTTTACAGTTCGACTGGCAGTATTTGTTATCATCTGGCTTGTTTCTTTTGGAAAACATCATTTATGGTTATTACCAAATCTTACAGAAGATGTGGGTTTTATAGAATCATTCTGGCCATTATATAAATACGAATTTAAAGGACAAAAAGATAAAAATGGAGAAAAGGAAGAAAAACCTATACAAACCAAAGAAACAACAGAAGATAAAGAAGAATCCACAACAGATCAAGAAGGAAAAGAATCTGAGGACCAAGTGCATTCAGAATCTGAAAAAGATAGTGAAGTGGAAAGGGACAGAATAGAAAGAGAGAATGGAGACAATGGATTTGAAATTCTTGATCCTTGTGAAGAATTGGACCAGGACAAGAAAGACAAACCAACAGTAGATCCGAAAGTATAATTGTTAAAAAAATTAATGTATTTCCTTTCTGTTTTATATGTGATCATAAAAAGTACGGAGGAATATATGGCAGATGTTTTGTAATTTATTTGCAATGTGTAACTTCAAACAAAGATCTATTCTCTGTTGCATTTTTAATTCAAGCATTCCTCTTTTACAACTTGGACTTTTTATCTTCACATAAATGTTTAACCGTGCACACATCTGGTTATTAAAAAAAAAAAATTATAAATAACCATTTAACTGACAGTGCCTGGATAAGAATATTTACAAATAAAAGTACTGATTGTAGCAAGTTTTTGAGTATTTTCTATAATTGGTTTAATCGTTTATAATATTCTGTAATTACATTATAAAAATTTTAAAATATATTTGTTAAATAAAAATTTTTAAGAAAAAAAAAAATATATATACAACAAAATTTTTGAACTAAAGATTTTTAAATGTTTTTATGCCAATTTAATAAAATAATAGTAATATTAATAATACTGTAAAGACAATTGCAAAATAAATGAGTTAGTTCATATGCTTTTGTTGACAGATTTTATTTTTACGCGCCGAAACTAGTTAAAAGGCGATTAATTTTCCTTGAAAATTTTGCGCTACTTTTGGGCGGATTACAAGCGCCGCCATTCAGCCATAGTAACTAGCGTCATTTGCCCCTAACAACAGCTGCATTGCGATTGTAAACAAGACGGATGGATTTGACGTCCTCTCTCAAAGAACAAAAGACAAATATTTTTCCTTTGTCAGTCCATCTAAGGAACCTTTAAACTATTCCGCTCGTTGTCTGGTAAGAGAAGTTACTCTTTAGCATTCTTCCTCCATTTTAGCTTCTAATATCAATTGTATTAATTCATCAGAAAAACGGTAGTGTTTTCGATGAGAATACCCTTAACGTGTGACGTCACGTGTTTAAGAAAAAACGATTGGATTAAATTCGATTTTCATTATCCGTTACACCAGATCATTGTCTATTTCGTATAATTAATTTATAACCTTTTTTCTTTGATACTCGGCGATTGTTGCCGAATGCAATGTTATTCTAAGCTAAAAATATCGCACAATCTAGCTTAGTGAATACTGTGAAGTTTTGATAAAGTAACACAATAAACTGTTGCACTCTATTAACTTTTCATTATGTGTAAGTGTAAATTATGCAAGTAGTTTCCAACTACTTGTCATTAATAAATTTAGAACACGAAAATTAAACTGTCAAGTTTAAAATAGTATTATTTAAATTAACAAAAGTTATAGAATTAACCATTGATTACGTATATTTTTTCATTTCAATTTTTACCTACACTTATTAACATGTTTATTTTCAAATAAAATTGCGTGCATTACAAAAATATTTACCTTCGCTTTAATAATATTTATTACGCATGTAAACAGTTCGTTATCTTTAAATTGTAAACTGAAGATTAGATTAGCATTTCTTAATCCATTTATTGATTTTAAGCCGTCGTGTTTATTCATTTATTTTCGTCGGGGACGTCATAATTCGATTTCTTTCATTCAAAAATGCATTTATATATATTATACTTTTTTTTTTAATGGAGATAGATTCTGAGAAATTATTATTTTCTTTATCTGCATGAAAATAATTTTTGTTTTTGCATCTGTTGAGTAAAGTAGTTCATCAATCCTCAAAGATAAATTATGTTTACATATAAATCATGTCATTAATAGCTTTGTTTATAATTATATATTTAAAATATTAGACTTAATGATAATTAAAACTGCCAGACAAATCAGATAAAAGTTGGTTATAATTTTTTTATTAAAGGGTTTTTTTTCTATTAATTATAGTTTTTTAATTGTAATATTATAACAAAATTAATAACCTTTATGACAGTATTTGTTAATTTATGTCTGGTTTTTGTCATATTATAAATACTTAAGGCACTTGGTAACTTCTAACTTTATTTATATACAAATTTTTATTCGGTTATTTTCTAAATTTATTTATGTAAACAAATATTTTAGAGTGAATTTCCCAGGAACGTTATTTGCCCCAAAATTAATTATGATAATTAATGCAACATTTAATAAATGTTTTTTTTTTTTTTTTTTTGTCGTCTTATCTTAATTTTTATGGGCAGTTTTATAAGAACAATCAAGATAAAAATAGAAGTTACCGTTTCTAATTTTAACGTGTATCATGTGTATATAAAGTTCTTTTTCTAATATAAAAGTAAGATCGATAATATATTTTAATTTTTAGCTTTAATAGATACAATATAGAATTTCAAATAAAATCGTGCTGGATAAATAAATATTCATATATATTATATAATTGCCCAGAAATGTTTCCATTAGAAAAATGTTTCCATTCATTTAATAATATTTGAGTATATAAATTGCATCTCTTATTCTGTTCTGTCATGCAAATAGCTAGTGTGACGCTCTATATTTTAATGGTTGCATACATATACAGTATGTGTAGTGATTTTTAGAATTCTTATTGCTTATCTAATTCAAATATTTAACTTGTTTATAATTTTAATTTAACTATATTTATCGATATAATATGAATATAAAAGCAAAAGATAATTTAGAAAACGTTAAATAATTATTTGATTTGAGCATCTTATTTTTTTTTTAATTAGATAATATTTAATCGAATCATGAAATACAGATGATGTGCAGACAGTTTTGCGGTCTGGATAAAGTGGCTGATGTTATGTGAGTATATTACCATTAATTAATTTATAAGTTATATGTATTTATAATTTATGTCCATAAGTAAGACATTTTTAATTATGAATGAACACACTGATTATCAGTGAATTTCGACATCCTGTAACTATGTAATTTTTAAATTGTAGATGGCAAAAAGTAGGTCATTGGAATCAGAAGTGACGAAATTAATATATTTTAACGATAAAGTTACAAAGTACGCAGTGTGAAAATTGTCCCTTTGAACCTATTAGGCAAAATAAGATCTGCGATTTTGTGCATTATTCGTACGAAATCTCAAGGAGATCTTTTTTAATTCGTTCAGAAATGAATGCATCGGATGTTAAGTTTATTGTAGTTTTGCTCGGATTCGTGATCTCTTCCCGTGACGGGGTGTGACGTCAATGTTGGTCACGAGTTAAGCAGGTGCTTTGGATAACCCATGACCCTGTCAGTTGTTGATTGACTTTCGTTTTATGCGTGAATGAGAACAGTTATTAGCGCTATGTCAAGGAATTTATTTAGATATTTTTAAATTAATGAAGCACATTTTAGTAATCATATGGAATAAATTTATATATTTATCTCTCTAATAGTTAAAAAAAAGCTTTGATTTATAAGTAGATTTGACGCATTTGGCTTCTTGTTTCTTAAAAGTTTCCCATCTTCAGGCACAGTTCCTGTCGTTTAGCTACAGGTGGCTTGGGAGACTAAACAAGGGGACTCTGCAGGAAGTGGGGAGATCTCTTCCTGTCTAACTGCCTTGGCTTCTCAAGATACAAAAGATTAAAACTGCAACTGCTCACTTCTTTTTATGCTCTGATATTTTGATTCGTTCAGTTATTTATATCACTTTTATCCATTTTCAGTTCCAGACTGGGTAGGAAAATGATGACAACCTCAACGTTAGTGGAGACTGTATCTATCGACTATGAAGATTTTAATGAAAGCTTCCTTACGTGTGGAACGTGTCTTTGTACATACGATGGCGACAATCATAACCCCAAACTCTTACCCTGTTCTCATACAGTCTGTCGAAGTTGCTTGGAAAGGATAGTAGCCGGTAGCGGAGTGAGAGATAATGGATCATTTCGATGTCCAATATGTCGCGAGACAATTCCTTTGCCTAGAGGTGGGGTAAATGCACTGCCTCCAAGTTTTATAGTTAATCAACTGCTTGATTTGATGTCAAGACAAAGAAGAGAAGTAATTCCAAAATGTTCAAATCATCCTTCACAGGAATTATTATTTTGTGAAACCTGCGATTGTGTATTCTGCTCAACATGTACTACCAGTACTCATGGGAATAGCACAGGCAGTTGTGAACATACCGTTATTCCATTCTCCATTGCCATTAAAAGAATGTCGGAAATTCTATTATATAAAACTCATCTGTGTATAAATAAATTGAACAAAGCTTCGGAAATTGTACAAAACGAAATGAGAAAGTTAGACTGTAGCGCTAATGCCACAAAGGAATTGATCGATCAGTCCTTTCAAGAGATATTTAATTTGATAGATCAGAGAAAACAAGAACTGATTGATAACGTCAAAAAGTTATCTGATGAAAAGAAGAAAGTTTTGCAAGATCAACTGAATATTATCGAAGGAGAAAAGGAAAAGGTAGAACAACAATGCAATGGATTACAATATCAAGTGGAGGTACGTAATATAACCAATAAAATCAGCGAATTAAATGATAAGATAGATTCAGTAGAAAATCTAATGGAACCACGAGAAAATGCCTTTCTGGCTTACGATTATCAACATAATAACGCTTTAGGAGATATTCGGAAGTGTCTGGAAGAATTCGGTTCTGTTCGCACCTCAACGACTTTTCCCGCGCTTTGTACTTGCATTGTGGAGAACTGTTCTGCATATTTAGAAACATCTGCGCTAATTCAAACAGTAGATTATCACGGAAGAATGCAAACCGACGGTGGCGATCCAATAATTGCAGAACTACAGGAAGAGAGTGGCGATAACTTCGAAACTAGATTAGACGATCGGGGAGATGGCACTTATCAAATATGGTATACTCCGAGACACCCTGGATCTTACAAGTTACAAGTTTCTATTTTTGGAAGACCCATTAAGGAGAATCCATTTAATTTTACCGTTTCGGAACATATCGATCCTCTGTGCCAAATAGGGAGTCGTGGAAGTGGCGATACTAATTTTCTTCAACCTGTAGCTGTTATCTGCGATCGTGACGACCAAGTTTATGTTCTAGATACAGGAAACAGTCGAATAAAAATGTTGGATTCTCAGCTTGAGTTTATGAAGCATATTGAAGGTATAGGACTAGAAAATCGTGGGGCAATCGGTCTCTGTATGAATGGATCTCATAATCTCTATGTTGTTAACTGGAGGACAAAAATGGTGACCGAAATAACGCCTACTGGGGAAATAGTTAAGCAAGTAACGCATGCAGATTTAATAGAACCTATTGGAATCGCTGTTACTAGTAAAGGAGAGATTATAATTGCGGATAATGGGACGACTAGCATTCTAATGCTGGATACTAACGGGAAACTACTACGAAAAGTAGGGAAAAAAGGCACAGCAGACGGCCAGTTTCAGCTTATAGGCTGTGTGGGTGTGGGTCCAAATGATGAGATTTTAGTAGCTGATTCCAGAATACAGATTTTCAGTAGCGATGGTCGTTATCTCAGAACCATTTTCTCTGAAGGTAAAGGAAAAGGAAGGTATGGTGGTATTTGCTATGATGGAAGAGGGAATCTATTAGCTACAAGAGCAGAGAAAACAAGAAGCTATATTCAAATTTTTGATTTCCCTTCGGGACAGTTGAAATTCGTCATTGATAGCTTCAATGCTAAATTGAAACGACCCACTGGGCTAGCTGTTAATTCGGAATATTGCTTATATGTAGTGGATTTGGGTAATGACTGCATTAAAAAATACCGCTATCGATGAAAATGTACTTAATGATATTTGTTAGAAAATTTATAGATTGATAAATTACCTGTTTTTGATTGATGTAAAACCAAAGAGTTCGCTTACTTTTTAATTTTTTGGTTGAAACAATTTATAGCCATAGTTAATGTATGTGTGTTTTTGATTATTACTTAAACGGCCAATTTGCCTCTAGTCACTGGCAAGGTCGGTGCTACCATAATTGTTATAAACATATTAAGTATTTGAAATTTCCCCGGCTTTATTATTATTATTTATGTAAAGGCCAAACAACTGTGATGTCCGACACGTAGTCAGACAGATGCATTTTTTTTTTTTTTTTTGAGCTGTAATCAAAATGAATATTGTAAACACCATCTGTTTCTCAGGATAGAAAGCCATATAAGTGCATCGTTGAGTAATTAGTCAATTTAGTATTATAGAACTCATTACAGCTCTCTTTTGAATGTAGTTCAGTAAAGCCAATGTTATTTATTCTAAGTGAAATTAGGTCTGAACTGGGGAATACTTATAATTTTTACTTTGTTTATATTGTGTTTTAAGATTTTTGGTCCCTGCTGGCAGGATATATACAATATTTTCCACATTGTTATTGCACAGTGGTTATAATAAAACCACTTTCATCAAGTTTTATGTGTTTGTGTATTGTTTCTTTTCATTAATTATACATTTTCGTTACACCCTCAAACCACGACATATCATAGCGTGTTATCTGTATTTTAGGCATACGTCATCACATTCCATACAGAAAAAAACTATATATGAAAGAGTTGCCGAGTGTTGTAAGTTTATACAAAATATTTAGAGTAAATGAATACGGTTATATAAATAATCATAGATCAAAGATTAAATTAATGCTCCAGCTGAATGAGTGATATTGCTAATAAACAAAATACCAAAATAGAAATTCTACTGTGTAAACTGTATTTCCACTCAGACAAAGTATGCTATGGATCCAGAAATGGGATGAATAGTTTCAAAAATAAGATATAATACTCTAAAAATCAGATTTCCGTGTAAATTCTGGTTTATAGAAGAGTGTTTATTGATATAATTCACATGAAAATTCATTTTAAAATAATTTTGGAGATACACACCAAACAACTAAGACAAAAATTAAATTGTGTTTATATATTAATATTAAAAATTTATAAACTTGTTATGCAAATATAACCTTGACAGATAAATAACAAGGACTAGATGAGATTTGAAACATCCTAACATAACGAACAGTTTTTTTTTAAATGTAAAATTAGCAAAACTAATGTAAAAGGATTAAATGTCTATAAAATAATTTCCAATGTATACAAGTAAAGAGAATAGTAATTTAACTCCGGGTATAAAAACTAAAAAGCCTGTAACATTTATCTTTACTTATCAAAAACCCTCCGTTAGGGAAGAATGTCATCGCCCTACTAGATTGTAGATCTTCCCACAAATATCTCCTGGTGAAAGAAGAAGCAGCACGATAATCATAGATTTACAGAATTGCCTCTTCATTTCAAATATCCGATAAAGAAAGACATGATTAAAAAATGCTTTCTGCCTTTGATGCTAATTTGCAGTTTTGTGCAGTCTTTTCCAAACAGAGACGAAAAAGGTAAGTCTTGAATTTTACACATTTAAATATTTTATCAATGGCTTTATATATATATATATCATACATTTATACATACTTTATTTAAGGTAAGTAGTTTTAAAAATCCATTTTGGCACGCATTAAATTACCTTGACCTATTCTCGGTTGGACGATAGGGATTCTGACTTGAGTGATTATATAAGCAGACATAGTTCTCTATTCGCTTGGCTCGTTAATCTAAAAGTTAACTGTTTAATATTTTAGTATTCTACTCTACGTTTTGTTCAGATTAACTATTAATTTATAATACAGCTACGATATTTATGCAGCTTGAGATGCAATTATTTTAATGCATTAATTAGAGCGATTGTTGAAATTTAATTCATACTCTTGAGGAACTAGAAAAAAAAATTCCACGCCTAGAATCTCTCTGTTGTGAATAAACATCCCCTAGCACTGCCTGACACCAAGTGGAACGTACTCTATTGCACTTCAACTTTGACCGTGGTTTCAATTTGGTAAACGCAGACTCACGTACTTCAATTCATGATGAACAAATGTTTGTTGTAACTTTCCGGGAAAACGGGATAATATAAAAGTTGACGAATCAACAAAAGGGAAAGAACAAGTCAACCTTCATTATAATTTTGCAATAAAAAAAAGTAAAATTCAAGGTTATTTTAGAAGTTCTTGTGTAGAAAGAGTAATTACTATCCTCGAGAGAAATTTTGTTTTTAATACAGTTTTATTGTAAAACAGCGAGCTCGCATTTCTTAATTAGATTGGTTTTTTTTTTCCAGACACACAGTTTTGGTTTAAAGAGGCTCAAAATTCATTGCAAAGAAATTTAGCAAGAAGAGAAAATATCGGGATAGCTAAAAATGTCATCTTTTTCTTGGGAGATGGAATGGGCCTGGCTACGATAACAGCTGCTAGGATATACAAAGGACAGAAAAATAAAAATTTGGGAGAAGAACAATTTCTTGCGTTTGAAAAATTTCCTTATGTTTCCCTTGTCAAAGTAAGGAAACTATTTTTGATAAATAATTAACGATTAATATTAACGACCTTTTTATTATATGCATAATCTATCCATTTAGTAAATTCGAATCGATTCTAAAAAGAAATTACATTCGAAGATTATTCTATAAAGTAGTAAGTCTATCCCTTTCACCGGAAAAAAAGTTTATATTATCGTTTTTAATGAGCTTAAATATTGCATTTTAATGGCTTTTTTCTAAACTAAGTCTATTTGCGATTGAATATCAAACAGAAATAAATTTATATAAACAAAAATCAAGGTTAAATTGTACAAAAATGTATATGATCTCTACAGCAATGTTTATAATAAAATAAAACCTATTTAGAAACTCTACTGAAGTTTATTTCGATTTAAAAAATAATAATATCTACACGACGAAATCCTTTCCTCGACGGTTATTTTAGTTTATTTTATATTATCAATATGCAAAGTTTGCAATACATTTTTTGAAATCTTCATAAATTTTGGATTTTAATAGACGTATGCTTTAGACAAACAAGTTGCCGATTCTGCAAACACAGCAACAGCGTATTTATGCGGCGTTAAAGCTAATTTCGGTACATTGGGTGTTAACGGACGAGTAAAATTCGAGGATTGTCAAGCTTCTAAAGATGTTTCTAATCATGTTACATCCATTCTTGAATGGGCACAGAATGCAGGTGAGATTTTTACACTCGATAATCAATTTTGTACGAGAAATAGACGATATATTCAAATGAAATACTTAAATCGCAACTTTAAAGGCAAGTCTACTGGATTTATAACAACTACTCGCGTGACTCACGCTTCACCAGCAGCTCTTTATTCTCATTCGGCTTCAAGGGATTGGGAGAGTTTTTCAGATGATCCCGATTGCCCCGATATTGCTCTACAGCTGGTAACCTCCAGACCAGGTAAAGACATACAGGTGAGTGCCTTTAACGTAAGAAAGATAGTGTTTCAAAGCATTAAAAAATTAGAATTTTAACGAATTTTATATATTAAATATTGAATAACTATCGACGCGACGGATAACATCGTCAATGAAACTTTGACGATCAAACTTTACATTCAACATCGTTAAGAAAATAAACAATTTTATTCTTATAATAATAATTATTATTATTAATTTTCGTAAACTCTCGCGATTGTCAAATTAAAAGTGGAAAGTACATAAAATCTCCTAAAAGATAAATGAAATTTTTAAATATTTGTATGTCGTGCATAAATTAGTATGAGCTAGCAGCATTGCTTCACACGAGTATAAATTATTTGCATTTACATTATACGGGTTAACAAACCGATCGTTTTAAATTATAATTTATTTGATTACGTAAATTTTCACTGCTAAAAAATTTTAAAACAAAAAACTAAGAAACAAATTTATTGGCTGAGTGAACAAGAAAGTCTGTTGTTATATCACCAACATGTTAAATTATTCATATAACATAAAGCTGGGAACGTATACACATATCGTTTGTAAATAAATAAAAAATCCTAAATTTTACAAAAAAGTAATCTCAATTTCAAACGTCTTATTTATTGAGTTTAATCTTTCCAAAAAAAAAAATTTTTTTAATTGAATTATTAATGTTTGAAATTATAATTTGGTGTTTAAACAATGATTTTTGCTAATATTTTCAATGGATTAAAATATCCTAAATAAAAAATAACCCACTTTTGCTGATATTTTAAGTAAGCTTGACAAACATCCAACAGGGTAATGTAAATCAATTATGTTTTCAAGTAGCAACCTGACCAAACTTCATTCCATTGGAAGTTTCTATTTACAAATTATCTTTCTGTATATACTCTTATTTAAGTGTTATGTTTTTCAGGTTATTTTAGGTGGAGGAAGAAAAACATTTCTAAATTCTACCAAAGGACGAGAAGATGGAAGGAAAGATGGGAGAGACTTAATCGAAGAATGGATGAATGACAAAATTAATAGAAAATTAAAAGCTGCTTACGTTTCTAATTTACGACAATTCAATGATTTTCGAGAACGATCTGCCGATTATCTTCTTGGTATTTTAAACCGTTCTGAAAAAAAAACAAACTGATAATTACTCAAACTTGGGATCAATGGCAACTTAATCAGTCTTTTATATAACATTTTACAGGATTATTCAATGAGGATCATTTGAATTATGTAACTGATCTAGAGGAAGGAGAGCCACGTAGAGAACCTACTTTAGAAGAAATGACTAAAAAATCGATAGAAATTTTAAAAAGAAATCCAAAAGGCTTTTTTTTATTTATAGAAGGTAAAAAAAATTTTTATATGTCTACAGATAAAATGCATTACGAATGTCTAAGTTATTCATTTGGATATCATTGTACAACATATGCAAATCTATAATACTCGTAATTTCATATTTATCGAAATTTTAATATCATTATTTCAATTTATAAATCGTTCCAGTTCGTTACTTTATTGATTTAATATTAATTTATTATGTAGGTGGTCGAATAGATACTGCTCATCACACAAATAATGCTTTAAAAGCTTTAGAAGAAACATTACAAATGGATAAAGCTATTGAGACAGCTTTGCATATGACGTCAGAGGAAGACACCCTGATGATCGTCACGGCAGATCACTCTCATACAATGACAATAAACGGATATCCTAAACGTGGCAATAATATCTTAGGTACTGTACTTGATAGATAATTATAATGAAACAATTTAAATCAAACGACTTTATAAATTTTTATATGTTAACTGAATTAATATTATTTAATTATTTTAAAACTAAATTTTTAAACTAACTATATAATTTTCGTTGATTAAATACAAGGTTATCCAATTAAAACGCAAGCCAACAGTGAGCAATCAAAAAAATAAACACAAAATAATATCAGAGCTTCAAAAGATGTTCAAATTGCCCCCTTTAGATGCTGTATATCCAGTTTAGGGTTCATAGAGTACGTCAGAGTAATTTTAAGGGTTCGTAAAGTTTGGGTTGTGTTATAATTGGATAATCCTATTTAGGGGAACGTTACTTATAATTAAAACTCGCTATAACATTTTTTAAAAACTTATTCGTTAAATGAATTTTAAAAAACCTTATATATTTAGCCATCTCAATCAATTTAAATTTAGAATTTTTATTCTCATTTATTTTCAAGGCATCGCGGACGTTTCAGATTTGGATAATTTGACATACACAACACTTTTATATTCGAATGGACCAGGATGGAAAGCTAGAGAAATTAATCTTACTAGCGAAGAAACAAGTGAGTAATATAAATAAACTTTAAAATACTAATTTCTTTAAATACTCATAATCTTTTAAAAAATCAAATATCTATTCATATATGTATATTTAATCAGTTATGTAAAAGTCAAATATAAATATATTTGAATTTATATCTAGGCCATGCACACGGGGGATTTGGGGTTTAATCCTCCATTTGAGANAATCTATTGAAAGTTCCATAAAATAACCATAAATATATTGGATAATGCAACATTTAAATAAAATCTAGTATAAGGTAACTATTAGATATGCTTATTTTTTAAATTATTATAAATAATTTACTAATTTGTTTCTGAACTAATCTTTTTTAAATTAATTTTTAATATTTATTTTATTTAAATGTTAATATTAAAAATAAATGATATACAAACACATTATTATTATTGTAGGCTTACGTTTGGATTTATGATCCAATTCCAGTTAGAGCTTGGGTGATTGGAACTTTATTAGGTTTGTTAATTTTCACAATTTTTAAATAAAAAAAATTTTTATAACAATTTTAATTTACATTTAATATTAATTACACTTTCTATTTAATATAGCTGTAATTAATATATAAAAAACATAATTTTGTTTTAACAGTTGTTGGTGCTGTATTAGTATGCTTGTTTCCACTTTGGCCCAAAATTGTTAGACATTATGTGTATTACTTGAGTATTGCAGCAACTGGCTTTTTAATATTAATTATTGGTTTAGCTGTTGGTAAGTATCCTTCATTAATCATTCACTACAATATTGAGAAAACATTTGTTTATTATAAATAATGGTAATTATATTTAAGAATAACTAATTGAATTAATATTTTCATTACTAGAAAAACAAATCAAATGATATCTATGTTTGTTCTTCCTGATTATTTGGAACTAAACTTTATAAATTTCACTGTAAAATTNTTTTTGTTTTATGAAATTAATTTTTCAATAATAATAATTTATATTTAAAATATCTCAAATACAAGAATAAAAAAAAAAGTCCTCTTAGTGCCCATAGGCTGGGAAAAGTAATCTTTTCTTTTCTCGGGCCCAGATTGTGAGGGATGAGGTCCAACATATCCAGGACACAGAATTCCAAAAAATATATTGGTTTTTTTCTTTTTTGGTCTGATTGGTCTTCCAGAGCACTATGCTGACATTTTAACTCTTTGACCATCTGGTTATCAACTATTAAGTCTTTAATACATTTCATTTCCTAGTATTTTGAATAAATTGATCTGTTTAAAGTAATCAATGTAAATAAAAATAATTCAAAACATTTTATATAGTATAGTATATGATTTTTTTATTTAATTTATATTAAAGTTTTAATCTATTTTGTTTGTCTGTTGGAAAACTGATTAATTTGAAATTCACTATTTTATTTTCATTGATATTAGTGTGCAATGCCAAAATAAAAAAAAAATAATTTACAAATATAACAATGTGTATTGCTAAATAATAACTAGAATATAATCATAGTCAGTGATATTTTATATTCATTACTCCTAGATTAAACAGATAAGAAAAATATACTATTGTTTTTACATAAATTTAACAAAACCAACATCATTTAACTCTTTTAACTTACTTCAATTGTGGTTGACTTTCCATTGAATAATGAAGTATATACAGTATGTCAAATACAAATACAGGTATATCTCACCTTACGTCAGTAATTGGTTCCAGGAGATGCGACTTAAGTCGAATTTACTCGTCACTAGGATAAACTACAAATAACCGTTCCCAGTTCTGTATTTTATTTATAAATGCATTTTTAATAATATGTGGTTAATAAGAATCTATTTTAAGCTTACAAACAAATAAATTTTAGTTTTTAATATAGTACAGAAAAAAGTAATCTAAATTTACAAATTCATGTACTGTATGTACAGTACAGTACATACTTGTAAATGTGCATGTTTACAATTTGGTGATGTTTACAGTACATTGCAGACTCTATTTGTTCTAAGACATTATAAAATAAGATGATTTTGCAAGGTTAAATAACAAATAGTTATTAAAATTATCTTTAGTAGAAAATAAACTAATTTATATTAAATTTACCAATATCGAGTAGCGCTGACAATGACGCCAAATGGTAGATATTGGAACTACCATGGAAAACACTAATATTGATCACTTAAAGACCACTAAATAAGATGGCAACACAGATGTTTTCATGTTTCGTTCTCTAGGATTTATATTAACATTTACTGTAAATGTACATATTTTAATATGATTTTATGTGCTTTAATGCTTTTCTAGTGATATTACAACTCCAATATTTGTGGCGGATGGAAGTAAAGTTGAATAAAATGACTTAAACATGATTTTTATTTTTCCATATATTTTTTGACAAACGACGTATAATTGAGAACGACATAACTCGAAACGATGTGACTCGAGCTATACCTGTACTGTACGTTCACGTTTGTATAAGATATAATTGTCATGTTTGAAGCAGAAGAAACTGTGTTAAAATATTAAGAATTTGCTCTTATAATATCAACAGTTACAATAAAAGCAGTTTGCAAAATTATATATATTAGTTTTAGAAAATTTTCCAATGTTATTTTTTCAGATTACTTTGATATTTACTTTTGGTTCTCAATAATAATGCAAATGTTATGTTTATGTTTAATGAACATCATTGTCATAATCCTAAAACAAAGTGGCTGAAAAAACATTAAATGTTGTTGTAATGCATGCATTACAACAACAGCCATTTATGATAGCATGTATACTGCCTGAAATTTCTGAGTTTGGGTCACCCACATGGCTGATGGTTTGTGTAGTCTTGGTATAAGAAGGTAGGCTACTATAAAAATACAATAGTTCATGACCAATAGCAGCACATTATTATTATTATTCAAGGAAGCTGTCTTACGAATATGGATGTGCAGATCATACGTAAGCAATTTATAAACTATTTATTACACATTGTCATGTGTATCAAAAAAGAAAAGACAAAATGTGAACAAGTATGCTTATTAAATTTTATTCTTCCTTACCATGCAGCTGTTAATGTAGCTTGGTATTTGTGTGTGATGCACTTGTTTTTCTGTTGATATACAGTAGAGCGTCGATTATTCGAAACGTCAGTTATTCGAAAGAATTCCAGTTGGCAAATTTAAATTTTTGCTAGTGCTGTGGCTCTGCAATCTTTGGCTATGTCTTGGGCTACTCCAATATTTTGTTTTGTTTTGTTTTTTTTGTTGGTGTGTGTGTGTGTGTTTTAGCGGCAGCACTGGCACTTTTGTGTGGTGTTTTTCTGAAAACTGTGTCATGCTGAATCGAACGTTTTTGATACTAGATTAACTTCTGAAGTATAATTTTTTTTTGTTTTTATATTTTTCAATATATTTATTTGTTTGTACAAAATAAAGAAATAATTTTTAACGATACAATAGCCACGATTATTATTTTAAAAAGTTTACGTTAGGCTTAATGTCGACGAAAATTCAATGCGAAGCAACATGCAATGGAGAAAAATTTTAGCATGAGATAGGTTAATATATTTTTTCGTACATAATCGATTATCCGAACAACCTCAGTCCCCAATTAATTTGGATAAATGACGCTCTACTGTAGTGGTCAGCTACTTATAAAATTATTTTATTACTTTGTGTTTATTTTAAATTCAGTTGAAGAGCATTAGTGTAGGAAGTGCAACCCATGTGGCCATTTTTCCAGATAGTATAACACAGGTCTGCAAGTAAAAAACTGCATAGGATTTTTATACATTTTCTTACAGATTTCAACTTGGTAAAACAAAAAAAAATACCAAAAAAATTCCATCTCGTCAATTTTTTTTCTTACACTCAAGTTTTTGTTTGTATTTAGCGTAAAATTGCTAGTTAACTTAAAATTTAGTATTCTTTTTAAAAAACTCCACCATACCTTTAAAATGCAGTCTATTTTACACCTATCGAACGTTTTCGGTCAGATTCACAGACCTTCAGGATCGAACTATCAGATTTTAAATTTGCAAAATGGTTTTGCAAATTTAAAATCTGATAGTTTCGATCCTGAAGAAGGTCTGTTAATCTGATCGAAAACGTTCGATAGGTGTAAAATAGACTGCATTTTAAAGGTATGGTGGAGTTTTTTAAATAGAATACTAAATTTTAAGTTAACTAGCAATTTTACGCTAAATACAAACAAAAACTTGAGTGTAAGAAAAAAAATTGACGAGATGGAATTTTTTTGGTATTTTTTTTTGTTTTACCAAGTTGAAATCTGTAAGAAAATGTATAAAAATCCTATGCAGTTTTTTACTTGCAGACCTGTGTTATACTATCTGGAAAAATGGCCACATGGGTTGCACTTCCTACACTAATGCTCTTCAACTGAATTTAAAATAAACACAAAGTAATAAAATAATTTTATAAGTAGCTGACCACTACAGTAGAGCGTCATTTATCCAAATTAATTGGGGACTGAGGTTGTTCGGATAATCGATTATGTACGAAAAAATATATTAACCTATCTCATGCTAAAATTTTTCTCCATTGCATGTTGCTTCGCATTGAATTTTCGTCGACATTAAGCCTAACGTAAACTTTTTAAAATAATAATCGTGGCTATTGTATCGTTAAAAATTATTTCTTTATTTTGTACAAACAAATAAATATATTGAAAAATATAAAAACAAAAAAAAATTATACTTCAGAAGTTAATCTAGTATCAAAAACGTTCGATTCAGCATGACACAGTTTTCAGAAAAACACCACACAAAAGTGCCAGTGCTGCCGCTAAAACACACACACACACACCAACAAAAAAAACAAAACAAAACAAAATATTGGAGTAGCCCAAGACATAGCCAAAGATTGCAGAGCCACAGCACTAGCAAAAATTTAAATTTGCCAACTGGAATTCTTTCGAATAACTGACGTTTCGAATAATCGACGCTCTACTGTATATCAACAGAAAAACAAGTGCATCACACACAAATACCAAGCTACATTAACAGCTGCATGGTAAGGAAGAATAAAATTTAATAAGCATACTTGTTCACATTTTGTCTTTTCTTTTTTGATACACATGACAATGTGTAATAAATAGTTTATAAATTGCTTACGTATGATCTGCACATCCATATTCGTAAGACAGCTTCCTTGAATAATAATAATAATGTGCTGCTATTGGTCATGAACTATTGTATTTTTATAGTAGCCTACCTTCTTATACCAAGACTACACAAACCATCAGCCATGTGGGTGACCCAAACTCAGAAATTTCAGGCAGTATACATGCTATCATAAATGGCTGTTGTTGTAATGCATGCATTACAACAACATTTAATGTTTNTATATATAACGTAAATTAAGTATAGATATAAATAATAATATAATAAAAATATAATCGCATTGACATTTTCCTCAAAATTGTTTAATATAAATACTCTATTGTGTTAGGAGATGAAGAAGTTATACGTTTATATTTGAAATATATATTAAAAATTATTATCAATTTGTTTAATTTTTTAAAAACTTAATGATCCACTTAGCCTGTATCAATTGTCCTAGAGTTATTAAAACAAAATTAAAACGAACTGAAATTTGCCTTGTTATCCAATTCACCAGACCACCTACATCATATTAAAAGTTAACCGACACCAGAGAATTGTCCAACTCGAACCAACAATTATTATTATTTTTTTACGATGTTATAATCCGAGTACTGTTAATTGTTCGTATTTTATAACATAGACAGAATAATTATTAGTTTTAATCTGATAATATTGGAGTAGTTAAACCCGTTTCCTTTCATTATGTCTAATAATTTATTCTGGAGATGTAGAATGTAGATAACTTTTTTCTAGTTTTTTTCTCCCCTTCTTTAGATGTTTTCTATTGTTAGGTGATAAAGAGTATCAACAGAACAGCGCTTTCCTTGCCAGTGCAGAGACTCATGGAGGAGAAGACGTGACCGTTCACGCAATAGGCCCCATGGCTCATTTATTTCAAGGTATACAAGAACAAAGTTACATACCTCATGCACTTTCCTACGCTGCCTGCATAGGTCCTAATCTACATTATTGTCAATCATCAGCGTTTAGTTTTAAACCAAATTATTTATTATTTCCTAGTCTAATTATAATTTTCTATCATAACATTCACTAAAATTGATTTTTTTTAAGCCAAATTAATTTAAAAGTTTAATAAGCCTAATTTAGCTAAATGTCTTATGTAATCGAATTAAAATGACTTAAAATTTCTGTTCAATATTCAATTTTTGACTTAAATATATAAAAAGTTGATTTATCTCTTTTTATAAATAGAAAATAAAACAGTTTCGATGTAATTTTTTGTAGTTTCTTTTTCACGATTTTTTGTTGTAAAACTTTCCTTTGCTGACGACATTTTTATTTTTTACCCATAATGATATATATACAGTAGACTATTATTACTAAATTGAATAATAGTTGTCTAATAAAAAGCAAGTTGCAAAAATTATCCATAATACTTTTGATCTAAGCCATTCCGTTAGTAAAACGAAAAATTAGTCTGTTAATTTTCTAATTCGTTTTTTAAACAGACTATTAAATTAACGTTAAAATCTTAAAGCTGATACACATAACTTTAACTTAGCGACATTTCAACCAATTTTCAAATCTTCATTATTTATCTATAAAAAAATAATAATTACAAAAAATTATTTGAAAATTATTTTTAGTAATCATATATATATTTCTTTGCATTAAAAAAAAATTGAAAATGTTGAGTGGAAAAACCGCTGAACACTGACCCTCGGGGCCGGGACCAAAGGGTTGGCCGCGTGTGATCTTCCAGTTTTCTTCATTCGTCTAACACCTAAATAAGGACAAGTTCCTTATAGAAAGTTCTCCCAAGATGCTATACTTCTTGGCAGAGCGCTCTCCTGTTGCGTTGCTTTATTTCATCAAACTGATCGACCAATTCAAAATGTTTCGTAGACAGTATAAGAGTAGAGTGTATCAAAATCATAATGACTGAGTGGCGATTTTTGCATTATCCAAATTTTCAATATCATGTTTTCTTCAAATATAATTATTGCATTTAGTATTATCTTTGAAGAATATAAGAAATTCATTTAGGATTTGTTATCTGGCAAATTTGGACTGATTGAAAAAAACCCAGAAATTTTTCGGTCCTTGTAGATATGTCGGGTCCGTCCTTCACCATTTGACCGCCCCATTATGGACCTGGCCAAACACATAATGGGCACAGAAAAAGGGCCTACAGGGCAATGAATGTTAAAAGAAAAAAAATCCTTGACAATTACTTCTGTCAATTCCGTTTTTTTAATCGCTTTGACAAAGCAACCGTTCTAATCCATTAATTCGAGATCGATCAAATACAATCTCTTTGCGCCCTTTGGGCACCAAGACTGATTTTTATTATTTTTTTTTAATAAAGAATTTAGACAGATGGATATAGAGAGAAACTGGGTTTGACATATCCTGGACAAACCATCCCGAATAATTCCTGGAGATTTTTAATTCGTCCAGATTCATTCCTTGCTTTCATGAAAACATTATTGGAATGGTAAATAGGAACACGTGAAAACCAAAGAAGAAATTGTACAGTTCTGGAAAAATGTATGGAACAATCCAAAAGACTGCAATAAGATAGCATCCTGGCAGAGCCTGTGAAAACTGGGATCTCCAAAACGGGTGGCACATTAACCACTCTGCCATCCGAGCATTTTAGGCATTGATCGATGACTGATAGGGACTCATTTAGTTAAGTCACTGCCAAAAGACAAGTAACAGTGATAGATAAACCTAGTATTTTCTCAGACTTTTTCTAAATTATTTGATATTCTCCAAATAGAAATGAAAATAAAAACTCGTGGTCTATTATATTTTATATTATTAAAAATTAATTTTTCAACATAATTATTACATAAAATATAAATATAATAAAACTTGTTCCAAGCAGAACCTGAATAAAACGGGAACTTGTCTAAAACTGAAAAAACTCGACACCGCACGATGTTTTACACAGGTTTTATTGTAGTTAATTAAAAATGTAAAACATACTTAATAAATGACAAATTATACTAATAAAATTATTCTAAATATTATTTCATATAACCTAGTAGAATTAGCAGGCTTTAAGTATTATATAAAACCACAGATAATATGCAAAACATTATTGGCGCTCATTGAGCATGTTATTCCCTAACGATGTCACGCCATGGCGATCATCATGCTGGCTCTGCATTTAGCGCCAGTGCGTTGCCTTCAGCTAATGATTCATAGAGCGACGCAATCACTGCCCATGTATGTACAGTACCTACACATTTAGCGCGAAATGGAAAGTGATTTCCATTTCCAATGAATTATGGGAATTTTTTAAATGGCGACAAAACTTTCAACTTAAAATAAAGTTTTATATCTTTCAATTTAGTTTTTTAAATCTAATATTAGCTAATTTTTTTCGAAATTTCCATACCACGCTCTATGTAGTGCTAATGATAATGGGTAAAAATATGATTATATAAACTTGGAATTATGGATGCTGCATGTTGATTGGCTGCACAGAATCGCCACGCGAAAAGTTGTCCCAGAACTCCATCGCCAAAGTACTGGAAAACGATTCTAACCAGAAGGCGGTTGAATCGCTTCTGAATCGCTCTAAATGGAGAGCCAGCATCAAACACGACCTCAGCACATTTCTCTTCTAGTCAAGAGGTGTTTCACGGAAAAAAGTCGTTTGGAGATTTATATTTAAAGAATGAGGTGGAGACTTTATTTACGAAACAAACAAAAAAGTAAATTTAAAAAAAAAAAACAAATAAAACTGATAACAACCTAAATTTGCTAGTGTTTAGCTTATTTTCACTTCTCCGCACGTTCTGTATAACCAAATTGAGTTTAGTCTGTTAACTCAATTGCGTTCGGCGTGTGACAGTCATTATTTTTCGGGTCGTCTTCGTCGTTCGTCCTGTGGCATACGGAACCAAATAACACACATTACGTGTTAATAAATCTATTTCAACAAATTTATGATGACATTTTACAAAAAAAGTATCGATAAATGGAACACGGATAAAACACCGAACGTTTAACACGAAAACGTTTATCATCTACAATAATTTGCATATTTCTAACTATTGGCAACTATTTCTAAAAAATTAACTTACCATTTTTGTGAGCATCCGTTGAAATTTCTGTCGAATAATCAAGCAAAAAGGAATATATATATATATTAGAAAGCAAAACATTTGGATTCTTTTTACCTCGGCCACTGTATCGAATCTCATTTTTGGTATTGTTCGACTCCTCATCACGCGATTAACCAGCACGTTCACCGCCTACTGTAAAAATCGTATGCACATGAAAATAAATCTTGCAAAATAATTTTCACCTTTTAAAACTTTGCTCGAATTTATATATATGTTTTAAAATTACGAAAGAATTTTTATATATATTTTTTCTTCTCACTTTTTAAAAAGTCCTTTGCTGGCCCTTTATTTTTCAAGCAAATATATATTACAGCGATACTATGAAAATAATTGCCACTCCTGCTAAAAAAGTATCACACCACACCTGTTATCCTTGCGAAATACTCGAGTGTTGTCCTTGCTAAAAGTACAGCAGTTCCCTATAAAAATTTTATTTACCAGAGACATTTCATCTTAACAATCGCCTGAGTTCATTTCGCCAGTTATCAAAGTCAGTATTTTTTAAAAGAATTTACAAATTTTAATGTAATGTAAGTATGAAATAAAATATTTTTGAAGAAATTCACATTGTACAATGTGCATTAACTTATATGAATAATTCAGTTACTTTATCCACCGAAGGAAAGACGCGTAGATTGCACAGCACTCTGAAAAATCCAGCAACGAGTTGTTTAACTTTCCCAGCAACATTTAAAACTGCGTGTGTGGCGCTATCTGTTATGATATTTTGGTATTAAGACTTTTTATACTGTTAATTATTATAAAATGGCAAAATACTTAATTTTGAGGGATGGGTTTTATAAAAAGTTGTAAATGCTAATAACGAGTAAAATCATCATTAAGTCGGACCTTACTCAAGATATGACACCCGATCCCCTTTATCTCCCCACTCCTTCGACCTTTAACCACCAAAATTTACTAGCATCAATTCTCCTAATACACAAATCTGCTTGCAAAATTTCAGAAATTTTCGACTAAAAGCACAGAAGTTATTAAGCTTCAAAGATGGTAAACGATACACACTAATATCCACACATACACACACACACATACATACACACACTATAACCCACGCCCACATATACAGAAAAAATCTTCAAATATTTTTTTGCATTTCTCGACGTTTCCAGGTCCCGAGTCCAAAAATGAAAAAATCTTGGGGTGGTCAATTTTTTACCTATAAACTCAGTTATAGTGTATATAGTACCGGGTAAGTAAAAATAAGGTTTACGTTAAAAAAGATGGACACTTTTGATTCAGATACTTGCAGTATGTGAACATTAGTAACACCTAGTTTCCCCATGAAATACCTCTCGGGAGGCATTCCCCCTCAGCAGATCGCCCATGTGCAGGGGCAGATCTAGGTTTTTCGGGGCCTTGGGCTTATTGAAGTCCAACGGGGCCACATTTTCTGTTAGATTAAGAATCTTTAAATTAGGGTTTAAAATTCTTTTTCAATAACATCAAAAACCAGAGTTGAAATATATTCATTTATGAAATGGTGTTGAATGACAAACTTTATATCTTATATTAAAAAAATTTATGACAATAATTCACTTTTTGTGGATCCTTGACATTTGGGAGCCCAGGGCTTAAAGTCCCTATAGTCCAAGGATGGGCAAGTAAAAGTTCAGTGGGAGCCGAAATGTAGGTTTTGTAAAGTGCATGGAAGCCGCAGTTCTGTACTTTTTTATTCTATACCGGAGTTCTGTACCGCGATTTTATTATATAATATAAATATAAGTTAAAATTAATATTGAATTTTTTAATAAACATATTTTCACAAAATTGTAGAAATAAAATTGTAAAAAAAATAATATAAAGCAGAAATTAACACTTTCAACAAGAGCCACATGTAACTCAAAAAGAGCCGCATTTGCCCATGTCTGCTATAGTCCCTATGTAGATCTACCCATGCCCATGTATCGTGTTCCCGTAAACGAATAAACCTATCCAACGCTCCAAGGCCTTTTCAATATCTGATGCGATTATGTCTTTAATATAATATAATATAATCGTATAATGCTAACTGAAACGTAAGCATCGAAATTAAAATCAATGTTCTGGTATCTTTCTTTCTTCTCTGATATGAAGATTCTGAATGTTCTGGTATATGTC